GTCGACAGAAGAGGTAATCAAATCTTTGATGCAATTATTAGTAGTAACCTTGTGTCATTAAATACCGGGGCTCATACTCGTATTAAGCTGGTTAACAACGTTCTTCAACAATCTTCCCCTGATATTTCATTAGTCTCGACCGACATAAGTCTTAATTTAAATTGGAATGTACTGAATGAGACGTTAGGTAGTGATCATTACATTATTAAAATTACGACATACTTCAAAGCCAGTGATTACTATATTTCCCGTCGAAACTACAAAAAGGCTAATTGGGAAGGATACCGTAAAATTTTGAATGAACTGTTTAATGATACTATTTTAACCAATGATTTCCAAAAAAATTACGACTTATTTACAGATTATTTAGATATAGCGGCAGATCTTTTTATACCATCTATTAAAATCAATATAAATCCAGAAGTCAAGTTTACACCAAAACCTTATTGGAGTCCTTATCTTTCTAAGGTTGTTGCAGAACGCCGCTTAGCACTTTCGAAATTTAGACGTAACCCATCACCACACAATCTCGGAATTCTTCAAAGTAAAATCTCCGAAGCTCAAAAACAAATACGTCGGGCTAGAAATAAGTCATTTCAAGAATTTTGTTCTAGTCTTGACCAATCTACAACCCATAGTGAACTATGGCGTAGAATGAGATGGGTAAAGGGATATTTCCCTCCAAGATCCCATATCGACGACACTAAAGTCAATGAACTACTTTGTAGTTTAGCCCCGGATTTCGTACCATGTGAGAAACCTTTACTTTTTTCAAATAACCCAACACTAGAAGTACCTATAACAATCCAAGAACTGATTAAGTGTTTAAAAAATAAAGATACAGCCCCCGGTTGCGATAAGATCTCATATTCTATGATAACTCAATTACCTGACAACGGAAAACAAATGTTACTCGATTTATTTAATTCGTTTCTCAAAAACTCATTTGTACCTAAACAATGGCGCGATATAGTAGTTATACCAATCCCTAAACCAGGCCGCGACCCTTCTTTAGTTTCATCTCTGCGGCCGATATCTATGATCTCGTGTGTATGCAAATCTTTCCATAACATTCTACTCAACAGATTAGAGTGGTATATAGAAAAGAATCGTATGCTACATCAAAATACGACTGGGTTTAGAAAATGCCGATCGACAGTAAACAATCTCACCAGTTTAGTTTCAAGAATACAAACAGGTTTTTCTAAAAAACAAAGTACAGTATGTTGTTTTATTGACTTAGATAATGCATACAATAATGTGGATATTTATAGTTTATTAAGAATCATGGATTACTTAGGAGTAGGACAAAGAATATCTGATTATGTTTGGAATTTTTTACGATCTAGAAATTTAAAAATTAACACAGACAATTATTCACTGTGTAGAACTACTGCTCGCGGCCTGGCACAAGGAGATCCTTTTTCTCCTTTGCTGTTTAATATAGCTACAATCAATATTTGTAAAAAGATAAATAATGTTAGTATTTCTCAGTTCGCAGACGATTTTGTATTATATTTTACTACCCATAATATTTTAGAAGCAAAACATGAACTACAAATAGCTTTGGATCAATTTAACAAATTAGTGGAAAACATCGGTTTAAATATTTCATCAAGTAAAAGTAAAATATGTATATTTAAAAACGGATTTAAGAAAGATATTATTAAAATTAATATAAATAAAAGTACTCTTGAAGTAGTTGACACATATAAATATTTAGGATTATGGCTGGATCGTTCTCTAAGATGGTCCAAACATATAAATGAGCTGAGAGATAAGATGTCGAAATTTCTTAATGTGTTTAAAATACTGGCTGGCCCAGGATGGGGAGTACACCCGACTCATTTGCGACGGTTATATATTGCCATTATACGTAGCAGATTAGATTACGCGAGTTTTTTATACCACAACAGTTGTCAAACTAATCTTCATAAATTATCTAAAATACAGAATCAATGTCTGAGGGTCATTGGGGGTTTCATAAAAAGTACACCCATACATGTGATGGAATGCGAACTTCATATACAGCCGTTGCATATTCGCAGATATTACTTAGCTGGCAAATGGTATTTGAAGCTAAAGTCTTTTATAGGTGATAACACCTGTGAAATTATCAACACCCTATACAATAACTGCCAAGGTACTCAGTGGAGACGCAAAAAAATACCACTCTTAGTTCACATATCTGATATATTTAGTAACACAGTTGTCGATGTTGATTGTCATAGCGAATTGGGATTATTCTCGCTGAACACGTGGATAAGCAGTGTGAACTTGTTCTGTATGATTAACCCGCATATTGAAGAGATTACAGAAGCTAAAAAATTATACAATATTAATCATCTTCGAAGTATTTGCTATGAACATTTTAACACAAATTACTCGGGATATTATACTTTATATACAGATGGATCTAGAATAGGAGATGCGGTTGGTGCGGCATTTTATGATCCTCAAAATAACATAACTTGTAAATTTCAACTTAACCCAAAAATATCGACCATGCACTCGGAATTAGTCGCAATTTGCGAAGCTGTGTCATATCTTGATTCTATTAATTTTAATAATTGTGTTATATATTCGGACTGTAAAAGCGCACTCCAACATTTACTTAAATGTATAAAGAGTAACGGTTATCCTGTAGCATACAAAATTATAGATAGTATGGTTAAGCTTAGGAACAGGGACAAACACATTGTATTACAGTGGTTGCCCTCCCATATCGGCATTAAAGCAAATGAGAGGGTAGATAGTCTGGCTAAAGAAGCTTGTTTTGACGGTATCCCAATGACACATAAACCGCATTGGACGGATGTTTTAAGAGAAGTTAAATTAAAATGTTACGATAATTGGAATGAATATTTTGACGAAAAGTCGTTGACCAAAGGCATTTGGTATCGCACGATGCGACCGACTGTATATACGTTCCCGTGGTTTGATAATGCCAATATGAGCAGGCAAGAAATTGTGACGAGTTTGAGACTTCGCTCCGGACACATTCCATTAAATAGTTTTGCTGCAATGATGGGTAAAGTAGTGTCACCAAATTGTACGGAATGCGATATTGTTGAGGACGTGTATCATATCATAGTGGAGTGTGTCCGGAATGATGCAGATAGATGTCGGATACAAAGAGAATGTAACATAGATTTTCGTGAATTTGGAATATGTAATTCAAGTCTAGCCTTTCCAACATCTAATTCTGCTAAGATAATTTACAAGTTAGTTCATTTAGGAATTAAACGTAGATTATAAGTTTCCAATGTTAATATTTCTAGTGTTCCTATGAGGATGACATGTTCGTTATATGAACAAATCCTCAATAATCAATAAAGAATTAAAAAAAAAAAAAAAAAAATAAGCCGTATGTCTTCAATTCAAAACGTTTTACAACAGTTTACGTACAAAAATTGTATTATATTATGAAACATGAATTGTACATTAATATTTTAATAACTTGACTTTTTATAAAGATTATGTAAAAGAATATACTCGTTATTGCACATCTGCCTAATCTAACAATAAAAAATATGTCTTTAAGAACTAAAATATTATTTTTGTCATTCGAACAAACACGCAACAATGCCGAACTTAGCCTAAAGAAAATATTTCAATATAATAATTTCAAGTCACCTGCGATTATAGGCCTTCACAATTTCAGCTTATACAATAAAATGTCTTACACTACGCTTACCTAACGCAATATACATAGAAACCTTGTTTCGGGACTTAAGCACATTTAAAGCGGGGTATACAGGAATATATTGAAAATACGGCAACTACTGTGTCTTTTTTGTATTATGAATATCGTGAGACATATGCAATCAATAATTTTTTTACGGATTACTCACAAAACAATTTGACGGAGTAACGTAAGGTTTGTGAGCCCCTGTGTGGCTTGAAACTGATTGAGTTACCCCGTCAATGACTTACGCGAAGAAACCGTAAAACCTAATTAACTACTGTCTTTACTTTGTAAAAAACCTCCTCCTTTTTTAAGTTGGTTAAAAACTGTTGATAGCTATTCAAAGCCTTTTCCAGTCACGTAGAATTCTTGTAATTTTTAAGTACTTCTTGTCTTTTGAGCGCGACTCGTAAACTCGTCGTATTTATTACGAAGGGAGACTATCATACCAATAAGGCAGTATAGCATTTAAAAATAAACCTGAGATGTACTGACACACTGTTATTACTTAATTTTCTTAATTAAAATGTAACGCCTAAATTCCTTAAGATATTGTATCAAAAAAATATAATCTGTAAATTATTATAAGAGTACAACGAATACAGTTAAAAAACTAAACATTTCCGCACCATATTTGAATAAAATGAATACTTTAAGTACTAAATTGAGCTTCACTCGTAATACGTTATAACTATTTCAATTCACATTGGATGGAATAAATGTTGAATTTCGAAGATACGTATTTAAAAAGAAAGAAAATAAAAAGCAAAATGAGAGCATTGCTTTTTGGTATACACAGTCTTCGATTCCTTACTAAATAGACTATGGTTATTCAAAAATGTCTTTTTAAAAAGTTCTTATTGTCACAATTTTTATAAAAAATACTTTTGGGATTTATTTTTGATCTCAAAACTTCTCACTTGTTATCACAGTGTTGCATTAAAATTATGAATCAAAATAATGCTTAAAGTTATGAAGACAGAATGTGTGAAAGCGATAGTTGGTCGGCCACAGGGGGGCGGGAGTGGGGTCTAATGTCCATTGACATACACTGACTACTAAACATTTAATACCATCTCTAATAGATGTTACTTCAGAGCCGTATTATCCTGAAGGCAAACTAGGTTTAGGGCGCCAGGTTACAAAGGGGCGCCGTGAGACGCGAAAACCCAACTGACCATAGAGTGGCGACGACGGCGCCAAAAAATATAGGGGCGCCTGTGAGGTGTTTGCCCTCTAGACTTACTCCGCCTCTGCTTCTAAGACAGTACATACTTATGGTGAAAAGGAATCATGAAATAACACCAATTTCTACTGGAGAATCTCTTGGTACAGACTTACTCTAACGTAAATACACTACTCTACTTTGTGACCAAATATCGCGAAACAAATCGATGCAAGCTGTAACGTACTGGTGCATATTTATAGAATACGTATAAAAATGGCGGTTGGTGGTTTACTTGTTCGGTCATAGGAGCAGCTCCTTTGGGAACAGATTCATGGAAGCGTAGTCTTCCAGTACCTGGAAATAAAGAAAAGGAAGTTAGTTAGAAGTGTTCGAGAAACCTGGAGGTGATAAAAGGAGAATATTAAAAAAGAAATCTTTTTGAAGCTCAGTGGTTACAATTATATAGAAAACCGTGTAATACAATGTACTTGTTGTTTTGCAATGGAATAACTGATTACAGTTTTATTTAAGAGGCTCATGTGTTAACATAATTTTATGAATAAAATGAAATGGTAGCGAAATCTATGAATGTGTAAAAATACTAAAATAGAGCGACATTTAATACGGTAAAATACGGCTGGGGCTGCAGATTAAGCGCAATAAGTTAGTGTCCCGGCTCTAAGCAGGAGTTGGAATGGGTCTGTTTTAGTCAGCAAGAGTCAGATACTCCTTCATGGCCGAGGGCGGTATGAGTAATTTGATAATTTTCTACCAAAAAGATCTATAAAAGATACCAACCTCCTTCAGTTTATCAATAGTAGGCGCGGGTACATCGAGCTGCAGCAGGGCGCGCAGCTTCCTGCCGTCGAGACAGAGTTGTTTGTTGAGCAACAGTTCGTGGCCCGCGCTCGGCTCCAGCGGCGTGTGTTGCAGCCCGTACTTACTGCACAGCTCCGCCCACGCCGTCAGGTGCTTGTCGTTCGCTTCCTCTGCTACTGATGCTATGTCCGTCTGTGGAACAATATATTAAGATATATAAATTATTATGTTTTCGGCTTACTCACGTAGTAATTCGACGAGGAACTCGCGAAACAGTCGCGTTGCTACTGTCGCCGCGTCGCGGGTCGCGAAATGCTGCTCATGAATATGAGCCTCTAGCATGGCTTGAAACTAGTGAGTTCCTCGTCGAATTACTACGTGAGTAAGCCGACAACATAATAATTTATTTAGTATGTCTCACGAAAGTTACAATACAAATTAATTAAGTTATATATGGTGGTGTAAAAACCGACTAAGAGCCCCTTCATATTAGCGTTTGTTACGTATGCAATATGAGCGTAGCGTTTGTCTACGCCTACGCTGGACGCTGGATATGAAGGGCTCTAAAGGACTAAATATTTAACAGAGATCGAAGTAGCACTGTCTGTTCGGTTTGGAACTGACTACAATAAGGAAAACCAACTATTTATACGTATAAAACTATAAAATAACTTATTTACGGCTTTGCTAAATAACTTCAGTGAAGCTGACGAACAGAGAAACATTTTTTCGAATTCTTCACATCAAAAAGCTTAAAACAACACAAAAAATATCTTAAAGATTACCTTAGCAAGCGTAGAAATAGCAGTTCCATAGTAATCGTGTTGTATTTTGAATATATCGGCGACGAGCTCGGCCAAGGCGCCCTGGGTGCTGTTAGCGTCATCAACCACATTGTAGACCTGCTTGTTGGCTTCTGGGTGCCTGCCTAGGGTCCAGACGGCCCGGCAGACGTCTCTCACGTGGACTGTGTTCATCTTCAGGTCTGCTGTCCATAGGAGCTTCATAGTTTCGTTGAGGTGCTTGTAGATGCCGCCGTAGAGGAGGCGGGGTGCTGTAAGATGTGTAAAGGTGTTGTCATGTTTACATATTTGATTTTATAAACACTTTAAGTTTAGGTTAGTTGGTAAACATGTCATTAAGGAAAGACGGTATTTTACAAATATGTAATTCCGTCTGTAATTTGTTGTTCATCTGTAATCCTTACTATAATATTATAAATCGGAAAGTGAGTTTGTTTGTTTGTTCCGCTTTCACGCCATAACTACTAAAACGATTACTTTGAATTTTTGCAGACGTAAAGTTAGAAGTCTGGATTAAATAATAGGGTACTTTTTATCCCGGAAAAATTTGATATTCTCGAGGAAAAACGAAATCATTGGTATAGATGGCGCTGTGTGTATATGTCACATAGGCTACTTTTTATCCTTTTGTGACGCGAGCGAAGCCGCGGGTAAAAGCTACATACATAACCTCACGCCTGTCTCCCATGGGGGTAGACAGAGACTATGAAACGCCAATTGTTACGATTCTTACATATTTCTTTTGCTTAATTTGTGTTCTCAGTCGTGTCGCGCGCGCGTATGCGTACGGTTGATATTATGAGTAACGGAGTGCGTCGTGGATTTTAAAAATGTCCTCGGTGGTTAAATGTGCTAATTGCAATGTAGTGATCAACGAAGTGTTGGCCTTCGTTCACAACAAAATATCTGTGATGGACGATGAAAGTATAGGCAGAATCTGTGCGAGTGCTTTCTCTGAAAGTGACATTGTAACGGCGAAGAAGTTGTTGTTCGAATCCTTGCCGACAACAAAACGTAAGATAACGCGGAGAAAGGCGGGGAAAAATGCTCGAGACATAGACGACATCATTTGTCTGATCCGAGATACGGACCCCGAGGATATCCCAGTCTTCGTGGCCCGTGATCTTGAGAAGTTGCCCCCGGTTCTTTTCGACCATGTTGACGTGACGAGGCTGCTGAAAGACATTGTCAAGCTACGCCAAGATCTCGATATGATGAAAGAGGACTATGCTACAGTTAAGCAGATGGACCAGCTGAGAAATGAGGTGCAGCATCTTTCATCAGGATGGTGCAATGTAAACCCCAGAAGAGGTGCCTATGTGACGAGACTCACAAGCTATGAGTGCGATAGTGGACCCATGGGATTGCCGCTAGAGTGTAATAAAGGCATTAATGAATACTGTCAACAGCAAACTACATCAAAATCTACACCAAAATGCAATATTCAAGATATTTCCGAGCGTATGATATTAGAGGGTAGAAGTGAGGCATCGCGGCAAAATAAGCAAAGCGATACGACGGTGCATGGTGAGGCCGGTGAAGTATCGCCATTGCCCCTCTCACCGATGTCGTCCCCCGCGACGAGCGGCGGTTGCGGTCCCCTGCTCCCCGCCCCGCTACCTGTGCTATCTAGTCCGGCCGCCAGTACTACGCCGCTACAACCACCACTCGACTCGGCTGTGGGACACACGGTCGACAAAAATGGACACGGGCCTATCGCACACAAGCAGAAATCGATGGCGGAGATTGTTCGAGAGGGGAATTGGAAGACACAGGCGCCGAGTGATCAGTGGATTCGTGTCCAAAACAAAAGATCACGAAATCGTTTCATTGGAAAGCGAGGAAAAGCAATCCTTGACCCTGCGAGTAACTTTATGGCGGCAGAAACTAAGGTTCCTATGTACATATATAATGTGGCGAAGGGCGTGACAGTGTGTGACATTAGTACCTACATTATGAAAAAAACTAACATTGAGGTTAAAATTGAAAAAATGACTATGAAGTTAGCGAAGGATTATGAATCATATAAAATATTTGTACCTAAACATTCGTTAATAACTTTCATGAGCGATGATTTCTGGCCAAAAGGGGTGGCCTATCGTAGATTTATAAACATTATTAGACATGAAAAGGCAAACGTCCGTGTGACTAGCGAGAATATTAACAGCTCTAATCTATGAATGACATCAATTTGATAAGTTTTAACTGCAAAAACGTGATAAGATCAGTGGAATGTGTGCGGAAGCTTTGTCGCTCAGCTGATGTTGTGGCGCTGCAGGAAACATGGCTACTACCGCACGACCTCGGGTTCCTGGCTACGATAGATGACGACTTCGCCTGCACGGGTACCTCTGCAGTGGATACCGCGGCAGGAATGTTACGCGGTAGGCCCTACGGCGGGGTTGCCCTGCTGTGGAGAAAGGTTGCGTTTCCAACGGTAACAGTAGTGAAGTGTAATAGTGTGCGTCTCGTTGCGATAAAAATCGAGCTCAGTGAACGTTCCATTTTGATATTCTCTGTGTATATGCCTACCGAGTCCAATGATAATTTAGTGGAGTTCACAGAGTGTCTCAGTGAAATGACAGCCATAATTGACAGTCACAATGTGGAGTCGGTGTTTATGTTAGGGGACTTCAATGCGCACCCGGGTGAGTCATTTGCTATTGAACTCTTAACCTTTTGTGAGGAACAATCGTGGTCGTGTGTGGACTTGGAGCTGATGCCGTCGGACAGTCATACATTTGTCAGTGATTCGCACGGCTGTCGACGCTGGCTCGACCACTGTCTTGTGACCAATGCCGCGCGGCAATCTGTGTCTGCGGCTTCTGTATTATATAATACCTATTGGTCAGATCATTACCCAGTGTCTATACTATGTAATCTTAATTTAGTTGAGCCTAAGATTAGTATACCTACTGGTTGTATAAATAGGATAGTTTGGGGTGAACGTGATTCGTTGCAGATAGCGAAATTTAAAGATATATGCCAGTCGAGACTT